CGGAGAAATCTTTCGATTTCGGGGTTGGAACTGATGGAACCTTGCTGCGTTCTTGAACTAGGGTTCTTGACCTTTTTCTCCTCTCTTGCTTCTAATTTTCTAAGTTTTGATTAATGATTTGACTTAGGTAAGTTCTAGTTATGTTTCTAGGTTTAAACTGATTAAAACCTCATGATTTAGGGTCAAAACGACGTATCTTAGGGGTTAAACGAAATAGGAAAAGACCAAAAGACCCCTGAATTAACTGCTGTCGGAGTGATCGACGGTTTGGACTGACGGGCCGTCAATCCATCGACGGACCGTCGATTGGGTCCGTAGGTCGAGTCTGCCCGACCGGGCTTCACTAAAACGAGCATAACTTTTTACTCGGAGGTCGGAATTTGGAAAACTCGGTGGCGTTGGTAAGATAATTCAATTATCTACCATACCATAGGTAATGGGACACACAATTCCTTTTGTGCTAAAATTTATGACCATCTGAAGTTGACCAATCAATAATTTTCAGCTAACTAGCTGTTGACCCTCATCTACGGTCAGACCTACGGACCGTGGGATCGAATGACGGTCCGTGCTGGTCGACCGTAGTTTGTGTCAGAGGCTGGGTAAGGGAAGTCTCGATCCACGGACACAGACCACGGACCGTGGTCTGATCTACGGACCGTGGGTCTGTCCATGAGTCGGGACTTAGCCAATTTTTTCTGAGCTAGTTTGGGAGGGGTTGCAGTGGTGAACCACGGACCACCAGTACGGGCCGTGGTCTGACCTACGGTCCGTGGATGGTGACCGTAAGTTGCACCTGCAACTTCTCAAAAATCTATATTTTTTGGTCTGTTTCGAATACGGGGTGTTACAACAATCATAAGGAAAAATCCAACAATTTATCCGTAACTCCTCCATGTTTTTGTTTGTTCCACTTCATTGCTCTTTTCTTTTTTGTCAAGTAACTGAATCTATGTTTCCTTCCTTTGCATCTGTTACAAATAACACATCTACTTCTGTCCCATTTCCTCTTAATCTCTTGGGTACCTTATCCCTCCATCCTCATAATCTCTTGGGTAACTTATCAATCCATCAAAAAAAAAAATGTAATTAAGAGGTTATATTTATATCCTTCGAGTATAAACATATTGATACTTGAAACTGCACAACTGAGTCCATCTGGAAGATCAGCACCTAAAATCCTAAATGAGCAAAATGAATAGTTTCATTTGTACTAACTGCCAGAAAACTAAATAAAAAATCTTCTAGTTAAGATAACAGCTGCATTATTAATCATCCAGTTTGTGAGGTATTTCCATTCATTCCAATAAACTGAAACAGAAAATGTGGAAAGCACCCGAAGTAGTAAACAACTAATAGACTCATCACACGGAGGTAGAGACACAATTTGATCTGATCTGTTGAAAACACAATTCAACAATCAGTTTATTTATTTCTACGGATACAATACCCTTCTTAATTTTAAGAAACTTCTTCTTCCAAACATCTCTTTGGCTTTTATCTAAGAATTGACATGCCACCGCTGTTCTGTTTTTGGTATATACGAGAAAATACAAATATACAAGTGTTTCCTCATCGACAATCTTCTTTGCAGTCTACAACTAAAATTGAGAATTTTAAAAGCAAGCTAGGTAATAGTTTATGTTAAATCTCTTTTGTGTTTTGGTACATCCTTACATATTTCATAACTACTTGAGGTACCTTTTTTAATTACTGCTGACATTAATTGCTCGAGGTCTCCAGCCAACAACTATATTCTCGAAGAGCTCCCTGTGGAGCAAAAATAGGATATCCGAGAGGTCAGCCACGGCTCTCGACAACCTAAGCCACATCTCTGCTTAAATTTGTTTCGGTTAATGAATCTACTTCTAGAAAACTCTACAAAATTGAAATCAAACAAATATCATATATTTGAAAGACATGTGTTGCTATATCTACCGGCATCAACAGACTTATGCAGACATAGGCATATTTCAATTAAGTAAATTTTTTATAACCTGAGAAATCCCGAGGTTCCAAACTCAGTGGATCTTGAGCACAGTTTCTTCAACCCACCTCCCCTCCATCCCCCAACCCCAGCCCACCCAAAAAAAGGGCAGTGAATTTGAAAGCAATTCTGAACCTTCTTAATTTATTTGAAAGCACCTTAAATAAAATCTTGTAAATGCTTTCTACCGGACTAATAGGTTGATTGAGTTTGATTCCACAAGGACCAAACCGACTCTTTCAGCTGACTTAGAGATGAATGTCAAATTATCAACGAGGATTTTCGTCTGATCGTAGCAGGGTTGTTAGAAACTTGCAACCAACAACAGTAGAAATTTTCATAATAGCCTACAACTTTTGCTTTCACGTTAAACATAAACAGTATGAGTTTAACAATAAAAATGCAGCTATAAAAACATAATCATGTCTGATAATTTGAAGAGTTTGTTTGGAACTTGAACAACTATATTGATGTTTATATCTTATACTGAAATTAATTTGAATAAACCTACTTGATGCGGTAAAAACAAACAAACATAAAGACAAAGGCCGAAAACTTGACGCAGTTACATCTATCTTGACGAAAGCATCAATAATTACAACATAATAAAGGTAATAAATAAATCTGTCTTTCAAGGTGCATAACCTTTATAGCAATAGTAATGAGGCATCCCCAAACATCATGTAGTAATGTATACCAAGAACGTTCTCTTGGGATTACAATATATAGAAACAGATATATAATGGATTTGGAGAAGGGAAATTAAACAGCATAAACCATATATCACAAAGAAAGGGAAACCAAGAAAAAAGAGAGCAACATTCCCAGATTCAGTTTTCTGGATTCAAGAATGCAAGAAAGTGAAGAAATTGAAAAGTGTGTTCTCAAGAATAATATATAAGAAGATTGGACCGACCACATAAACTATCAAGTAACCAGAACCAACATGTAAGTAATCAAAAGAAAATTTACAAAAACTCATAAACACGGGACACAATGCATCAAAAGCCCTAAAGAATGAAGTTTTACTCACTTGTAGCGGTGAATATCGACGACAGACAAAACATAGAAGAAGAAGAAGAAGAAGAGCCCTTTTATTCCAAAAGCCATGAAAACAGTGGTTGGTTTGCTCCTCATCTTCCTCAATTACTCCTTCCTTCAGTTTAGGTATATTGGTTCTTCACAATTTTCATCCATTTTCTCATTTTTTTTCTGAAATTCAAGGATAAATCAGAAAAGTTTTTTTTTTTCAGAATGTGCATTTTTTGGCTGCAAAATTCTAAGGTCCTAATTCTAAAATAGTAATCATTTAATAAATTTAAAATAATAATAATTTTTTTTCATTTGGTAAAATTTTTAAAATCATCTTATTGATGAGAAAAAAAGTTTATTGTGTTTCACCAATAGATTTAAAATGCATTTTAAAGTAATAATTAGTGTTTGACCAAATTTTTTGAAGTGTTTTAAGTGTATTTTTTTAGAACTATTTTTCAAAAAGTATTTCAGAAAAAAGCTAATTATTTTAGCTTTTGAAAAACAATTTTTACTACTTTTCTCCCAAAAAGTTTGATTGAACACCTCACTTTCAAAAAATAAATATATTTTACCTCCCAAAAACTTGACCAAATAGACTATTAATATTTAATATTAACCATTTAGATTCTAATTATTAAGTGTATTTATTTTTATAATTTTGCAATTACTTAACGAGATTGAATAAATTTGAATAAGCATGGTATTTTTCAAAGTTTTCTTATATTTCATCACTATTTCTCTATTTTCACCGATGCAGTTGTTGCCGTAATTCACTATTATCAACTATAATCACCCAGTATATACAAATCACCATCACCACCGTATTAAGTTCTCACTACCATTAGCCACCATTAACAATCATCAATCATAACCACCATTACAATTTACAACCACCAATTAAAAACAACAATCACCACAATAACTATTCAATATATATTGCAAACCATTGTTATTAGTTATCACGATCAACAACAACAATTAATTAGTATTGTCAGCCACATTACTACTAGACCACTCAATATCGCCACCGTCTCCCAACATAATCTCAATCGACACCTTGAACCATCATTGCTTACAACCATCACTTTAATTGTCATATAATTCTTTAATAGTATCTCAATATCATATAAAATAATTTAATATTTTATTTAAATTTTATATTTATTGATTCTAAAGAAAGGAATTTTTTTATATATTCACATGTTGAAAAAAATTAATCTTAATTGTTTAGTATTAAAATTTTAGTACGATATCTTAATATTCAGTTGTGTATTAATTTAAAATATCTCAATCTTGATGAAAACAATTAAGATTTAAGGCGGTGAAAGGAATACAAGTATTAATTGAGATTTAAATAATAAATAAGAATAATTTAATCAAATCATCCTTCTAAATAATATTTTTTTAAAAGAAATGCAAAAGAAAAATTTGACAACCAAAATGAACCCAAGAGTAGCACAAGATATTACAAATATTTCTTCATATTGATTATTGATCAACACATAAAAACAATTCTTCCAAATTTTATTTAAAATTAATTCCTTTTATAATATCCTTAAAAAAATCAACCCCACTTATACTTAGAAACTATTTAATTTAGCATTCATAAAATGCTTTCCTCAAGTCTATTTTAGGTAAAAAAAAAAAAAAAAAAAATTTGACCGAATTCCTTTTATTCTATTCTAAAAAAAATTGACCCCTCATATACTTGGAAATTATTTAATTTAGCATTCATAAATTGCCCTCTAGTCCATTTTAGGTAATTTTTAAAAGCTTTGACCAAATTCTCATTAAAAAAAGTCAATTATTAACATTAATAAAATGAGTTATTTTATCAAACATTTGTTCAATATTTTATTAGACAAGGATAATTTTGGAAAAAAAGTTTTTAAATAAATCTATAGAATTTTAAATTCCACAACCATATTTAGACAACTTTTTAATGTTACATTACTACCATGCAAATCTGAATTAGTGAAGCAAATACATTTTTGGACAATGAATAATTAAAAAGAATCACATCAACAACAATATAAAGATATTCAGAAGCAAGACTTCTAATTTTATAATTGGACACTAGACCATTAAAACTATTACCTTATTTGTTAAAATCAACTAATTGAAGATTGAAAGGTACTATTTGGTCAACCATTGCCAAAGCTAAAATGGAAATTTATAGTCAAAGCAATTACCATTCTTGAAACAAAGCAAGTACATAATAATTTGTCCTAATGAGATCACTCAACAAAATCACAGATGCTTAATTTTGGTGAACAAGTTACTCGATATTTGTGCCGACGGCAAGGATGCCTTGCTTGTCTTGTTTTAGTGACCAATACTCAATGTACCTGATGTTTCATTTAGGAATAAATATGTCATTATGCATTGATCATTAACTATTCAATATATAGACTGCTCACTAAAGATAGACTACAGAATATGCATATACAAGAGAGTGCTGAAACGCACCAACATTTGTTTACTGAATGTCATTGGGGGAATACAGTGAGGAAGGATTTGACTAACTGGATGGGTGTGGAACTGCTAAGAGGCGCAATTCAACAAATATTGGCGTGGATTAAAAGAAGATGTTGGAAACAATTGAAGAAGGAAGCAGGTAGCTGCTATGTATGGAGCAACAATTTATTATACCTGGCAAGCGAGGAATTGGAGGCAGTTTAGACAGGAACATGTAAATACAAATTTCATCATCGCACAAATAAAAAAGGAGTGACAAGTTAGATTAGAAAGAGTTAAGGAGTCTAGAAAGGCAAGAAATTGTCAAGATTTAATACATAGGATTTGTGGTAGACAGTAAGTAGCTAGATGCTATAGTGTTTTTTTCTTCCTAAATTGTACTACTTTGTTTTGTTATGGTAATACTCACAGTTTATTGCTTTTAAAAAAAAAAAACTATTCAATATATATTGCAAACCATTGTTATTAGTTAATGACCCTCTATCATGATTAATCTATTTCCATAAATAGATGACCAGCTGAAGTCTACTGAATTCTTATCTGTCTATATATTTTATCCGTCACCTCAGTCAGACATTTTAGATTTTGAAAGCAAATCCAACTCTAACGTTAGCGGCAGTACATTCAACCTGATTTGAACTGGAATCATTCAGAATCAGATTTTATGGGTAAACAAGGGCCATGTTGCCATTGTGGCATCGAGCGTAAGTTCTATTAACCACCTATATCCCACCTTTTATGTTTATCAATAATCTTGTGCTTTACATGATAATTGATTCAGTGATGCTTAGAATTTATGTGCCTGATGTTAAGCAAATAAACTTTGAAGACTCACATAACTGAAACACTAAATAACCAAATTTCCCTAAATTGCCAATCTGTTAAACATAAAACATAGCGTACTTGAATTTTCTCACCTCTCGAGCCAAATATTAATTGCTTTTCAAAACAGCTGCCATTAGTCTAACAGGAACTGAGGACATCTTGGATAAATTGTAGATTTGGTCCCCAATCCCTGGCATAGATGCACATTTTAGACCCTGCTGTCTTCCTCTTCATATTTGGCACCAATGACCCTGCTCCACAACAATTGTTTGTCATTGGCATATCTCCATAACCACTCCATTCTTAGAGCTTTGCTTTGAAATTTCAGATTCTTTGTCATTGGTACCCTTTCTTTTCTTTGTTTCCCTGCCACAAAATCTCTCTCCTAGTGTTGTCCAACCTTTTGATAACCCTGGTAGGATGGGAAATAAAGGCATCATAAAAGTTGGGAAAGCATCAAGGACTAAATTAATGAGAGTGAGTCTTCTTCGTAAGGAGAGGTATTGAGTTTTCCACCTGGCTAGCTTTTTTTCACACTTCTCTATCACTCTATCCCATATTTCTATAGATTCAGATTTAGATTTAGCCCCAGAGGTAGTCCCAAGTGAATTGTTGGCAGACTGCCAACTTCTCCATCATGTATAGCAGCTAGCAGTTCATGTTGGTGACTTCATTTATAGGATACATTAGGTTCTTCCTCTAAAATCTTTGTTGCTTGGACTCTCTGAAATTGTTGCCGCACTCGTTGACATTTTTGAAAAATCTGAGCAACATAGACTAAAATACCTACTCCATTCCTACTCCTCAAACTTCCTGAGTACCTTATCTTGTACACGACTATATCCCTAGTCTTAGTTCCTACCCATTAGGTGTCCTAAACCCAAGGTATAAAGATCTTCCTTCTCTTAAGAATAATCACCAACTCTATTGACTTCCTCGCCAATGTTCCTATGTTCCAAGACAGAACTCTCAACCTAGGAGTTCCCTTGGTACCCTTACCACCCCTGCCCTCACCCCAAATCATTGACATGACTTTTAACTACCATCAGATCTTTTGAAGCCACTAACGCCAGTACAGAATAATCAAGTGGGGCAACCCATAACGTCAAATCCCTAAATGCAAAAGTGGCAGTCACACAATACAATGAAGAAACTAAAAAGAAGCAATAAACTATAGCAAAGATACCAGTTTAAAGTAGGAACCAAGAAAATGTAGTAATATTCACAAGGGCACAATAATAAATTCATAAACACAATATCAGATTTAAGGAAATTAGTTAACAATCAAGCAACAATAAGGGTCTGAACAATCTGTCGGAAAAATCAGGTCTAGATAAGACAGGAAAATATATAAAAGGGGTGGTGGGATCATACCTAGGAGATGACGGGGATAAAAAAAACTATGGACTGATTTTCTGAAATCCAGCGAGCTCCGATATATTCCTTTAGTCTGTCGGTCGTCGGTCATCAGGATGGGGTAGCTGGATTCTTGCTGACCGGTGGTGGTAGTGCAACAAAAAAAAACAGAGAAAGGGAGAAAGAAAGACGGCAGGGAGATTTCGTACCTGGTCGCCGGTGGTGGTGGGAGGTCAGGCCAGAGGCTTGCAGTGGAGGAGAGTAGTGGATGATCCGCTTGGGCAGGGGGGGGAGGGAATTATTTTACTGTTGAGCGCTAGAAAAAAAGATAGTCCCTGTTGAATATTATACAGTTTACCACTGTCAGATTAGATGATAGCGTTCCTCCTTAAAATATCATGCATATAAATGCAGTCTGCCAAGAGGTGAACTATTTTGCATGGTTCCTTAACACATCAAGCAAATCCTTTTCAATCTTTCCACCATCAAGCTAGTTCAACTATGTTGTATGGTTCCATAAAATGGTGATGAAAATGTGTATATAAAAGCATTTGACACATCCTAAAAGTCTATATATGTTTCACAGAAAGATATTTACTCTAGTTTTGCCAAAAGATATTCCCCGCTATACGTACTCTAGTTTCGTGACGCTTTTGTTCTCGTGCAGTACATTCTAAACCTTTTACAGAAAATCTTAATTGTCAATGATCATTGCGCTTTAGTTTCTGAGATAAGTTACCTGTAAGATTTTATTCATATTTTGTCCCATTTAAATGCTAATTAATTGTGAACTCAAACAGAAACCCCCCTATGGACACCTGGGCCAACTGCAAAACCAGTGCTCTGCAATGCATGTGGATCAAGATGGGGAACTAGGGGGACACTAGATGACTATCTTCCCAAACATGCAGGCAAAGGAAAACAGAGCTATCAGTTACCTTCGGAAATGAAGACGCATCTCATAGCTCATGATGACCAAAAGATGGAAGTTGGCGAAGAGGTTTCTGGACAGGATGGCTCTTCAGCTTGTCTTGAAGAGGAAATGATTAACATATCAAGCTTAGGTTCAGCAGGATCATCCTCAGATAAATTCATGCAGATGGAAGAAACAAATGGTAAAAAAAATTCACTTATATAAATATGATGGACTTGACCTCCACCATCTCTTTTGACTCTTGCTACCTCCTCTCCTAACCCAGCTCGTTAACAACTCTGAAGTATGTTCTGGCATTGTCCAGTTCAGGCTAGAGATCCTGAGAAACAAATTCCAGATTTGCTTAGTAAATTACAATGCAAGAATAGGTGGCTGTCTGTTTCTCTTGTCAAATTGCATAAAAAGCACCTAGGGACCAGCTGTCTGCCCTTCTTCTGTAGTACTTCCTGTGTTAAACATGCCCTCTTTATCACTAGCCAAGTGAGACATTTCACTTTTGTAGGAGTGTCTCTATTCCAGAAATAGTTCCAGAGATGTTTCGGATCCCCAGCCATCACCTGGAGACCTCTTCTGTAGACACTGCTAACTGAATAAAGACCACTTTTTTTAATGCTTCTACAGCATCTTGTCTGTGGAAATTGTATCCATACTCAATCCACCTATCTTCCCTAGTAACTCTGCAACCGTTTCCACCTCCCAATCATTTACAAGTCTTCAGAAGGCTAAATCCCATCCCTGTTCTGGCCCAACAGGCACCTACATTAGCATCAGGATTTACACAAATTTGGAAGAGATTCCTAAGAGGGAATTGTTCTATCCAGAAATCCTTCCAGAATCTTGTTTTACTGTCATTTCCCACTTTGATATACAAGTCTACCTTCATTTGAGGCCACAAACTTCTGATTGTTCTTTATACTCCCACACCCCATAAGGTTCAACTGTGTTCTCTGTACACCATGGGGTTAGCTCACCATACTTGGCTTTAATCACCTCTTTCCAGCCACCCACCAATTTTTGTTAAGGAGTTCAGCCTTCCAGTTTACCACCGGAGAGGAGTTTAGATTCCCTGAAGGGACCTCCAAAGGTTTATCTTGGAGTCTATGTCTGGGAGCGACAAGGATTTGTAAGATATTATCTAGGCCGTGTCCTGAATCAAATCCTTTCTTAAGCGTAAGGGTTATAAGAAAGTGGAAAACTAATATCTTTAACTATACAAATTTTTATAACAGCTTACCCCACACCCCCTCACGAAAAAGAAAAAAAAAGATCTATTGTATTAGTACCTTATTGTTTTATGTGCACTAACGTTCACCTTTTTTTTGGGAGAAGCAGACAAAGATCCTCACTTGAATCCTGACAGTGTCCCAAGAAGAAAGAGATCAAAGCTTAGACAAAGCATTTTCTCACCTGCTCAAAGACTCCAGAGGACACTTGATAACAATCTCCAGGCACCAGACTTTGAAATTATATCTGACGGAGATGAACCTGTTACTCTAATTTATGCAAGGAACAAATACATTCCTCCTAATGAGATTGGTCTTGGAGCTATGCTGCTAGTATCACCAACAACTACTACAGAGCGCTCGATGCCTCTATCAGCAACGGCAGAAGATACTGTCTCTTGTTCAATGGATGTATCTTAATAAAATTCATCTATAAGTGAATTTTTAGATGCATGCATAACATTCAAGTTGGTATGTGAAGCCAGCTCTTATTGTCTAGCTAGTGCAATGTTGGCTAAATACAATTTGGGCTGTTCCAACTTTACGGATTTCCTCAACAGCAACGCGCAACAGTCTGGGTGTTTTGAGACCATCTAGTTTGTCTTGTTCTGGATATTTGTAGTTTCTTCCGTTTTATTGGATGGAATTTTTAGACTTGTCAATTCTGCTTTTTGGATGCATTTAATATGTCAAATCCGAAGTCTATCACGCGTGCTTACCTACAAGTTTGTAAGTTGTGTGGACTACACGGTAGACTAAAATTGTAACATCACAAAGGCCATTTTGACTTACATATGCTTGACATTACAACTGTAATGTCTTGCATTGTACTTGTTTAAGGAGAAACAACAATGTACTAGATCATGTGGCTATGCAAAATGAAACTACTGGAAATGAGGATGGAAAAGCAAATGCATGTGAAAATAGACTCTTTCCACATCATATGGATACTACATCGGGTATGTCAATAAATTGTTCTAAAAATGCTGCTTCTGTATATGGATGAACATCTTATTATTGAAGAAATAGGTATATCAGCCTCAGGATAAGGTATGTTCAACCACAAAAAGTTTAAAAATAAGTCTACCAAAAAGTCTCTTCGATCTCCTTTTAAGTTATTAGGACAAGTCGATAAGGCACTACACCTTCCAATAATAGCTACACTAAAGAGAAGCTAGAGAGCCATTATTAAATAATCCAAGAGCAATTGAAACCGAGAATAATTTAGTACTGAGTTTCATTAATGCCCCCAAGTGGCAACATAGCACTCTTCAAAATAAATTTATACTTTTATATTACTTAGTAGACTTTGAAGTAATAAGAAGTAGACATAGTAAAAGTTAAACGACAACACTCCTTTGTGACATTCCACAACTTATATTTCTACTCTAGCAACAAACATTGCAGAAACCAAAACAATGGATTAACTATTCACAACCATAAAACATCTTAGAAGGCCACACGAAGTACTAAAACAAAAGAAAGGGGCGAAGAGAGTGAAATATATTACTTCCTTAGAATAGGAAAATGGAACGTGGGAACAAATGTGAAACGTTAAAATCTACCATTCTTTTTGATCAGTGGCAGAGCAATGTAAGTAATGATAGCTGAAAAAGGAAACAGTGGGCATTATTCATGGGACTGGATAAGCATATCTTAGGATCCGGAGCATCATAGAACTAAAAAGGGCTACTTATGTGTTGTACCTTCGTATTCTTCTTTTTTTTTGAAACATAGGATGCTTAATCTACAAAGTTAATTATTTCGCTAAAAAGGAAGTAGAATTGATGGGAGATACAATTGTATGCCAAAAAAGACACTTTTATTTAAATTTTATGCCAATTTAAAGCAAGTATACTTTTATTTATTTAAAGCAACATAAATAGCCTGAATTTTTCTAAAATCTCACCTGACAAAATATTAGGAGCACAAGAATAAAAGACTGCAGATCATTGAGACAGCATTACTCCAGGTGATATCAAATTCACTTTGTCCCATTTCATCTCATTCAGCCATCATTTATGTGCTACAAACTCAATGCAATAAAGTCTAGCTAAAACCAACTTATCATCAAAAAATACATGTTACGGTTAAAACCTTATCATCAAAAGAAATCTACCATTGTCTTTTTCATCACTACTCATATCTACAAATTAATTACTTCTTGAAGTGACAAAAGATGTTCTCTTTAGCTTAAAGTATTTTCTATCCATTTGATTCCAGTATTTTAGCTGTATTATTTTAATATGTACATTCATAGTGCAATATTATCCAAAGTATGTACAAGTAATTGACATGATAAGTTTTAGTATGATTGCAACTATCATGATGAGTCATGGTAACCATGCTTGTTCAACCTGATAAAAGAAACTAGTAATCAGATAATCCCCACAGCAAAAAAAAATTGTGCTAACATAGAGACTTGAAATTAGTGCTAGAAAGGAATCATAAAAAGTATTTCAAATTTAAAAGAATATGAGGACAAATCAAAGCACCGGTACCTGCTACTCTATTTTAGTAACCTTACCATTATGTCAACAAGGACTACAATCATAAGGAAAAATCCAACAATTTATCCGTAACTCCTCCATATTTTTGTTTGTTCACTTCATTGCTCTTTTCTTTTTCATCAAGTAACTGAATATATGTTTCCTTCCATTGCATCTGTTGCAAATAACACATCTTCTTCTCCCTTTTCCTCTTAATCTCTTGGGTAACTTATCCCTTCATAAAAAAATAAAAAATTAAGAGGTTATATTTATATCCTTCGAGTATAAACATATTGATACTTGAAACTGCACAACTGAGTCCATCTGGAAGATCAGCACCTAAAATCCTAAATGAGCAAAATGAATAGTTTCATTTGTACTAACTGCCAGAAAACTAAATCAGAAATCTTCTAGTTAAGATAACAGCTGCATTATAAATCATCCCGTTTGATATATACAAGAAAATACAAATACACAGGTGTTTCCTCATTGGCAATCTTCTTTGCAGTCTAGAACTCAAATGGAGAATTTCAAACTAATGTTGATGTATGAATTAT